TCCCTTCTGTATCTCCAAATCAAAAGCATCCCCAAAGAGTTATCAACGTCGGTATCGTCAGCTTCTAGACAACGAGACATATATCAGTATTCGCGCGCTGCTAACATCATTCCTTCGTAGTTTCTKCAGCAGYCATTGGCAGCGACGAACGACTACAATGTGGCGAGCAAAGAAAGGCAGCRGGGTGCCAGGCCTGGTGCCGTTGGCWMCGACGCTCGGCGTTGCGGGTTTGCTTCTAGCTCATCACCTAGCAGGGGCCTTTTCCCAMGTGCGCTGTCAACGCAGGATTCGGCATGATCTCGTCCGCATTCGCAGAGACAAACACGAAGAGCTATGGACGCTTCGTGCGAACGACAACAACGGCGGTGGGGACGGCAAAATCGACTGGAATCCACTCAAGAATCCCAAGATTTCCAAGCTGCCCTCTTATTCGGACGACTGGCTGCTAAAATTCCACAACAAGGACCAGTCCGAAAAACAACTAGTGACGAATTCCCTGGCAGCTTGGAACGAAGCCATCCGCAACRAACAGGCCACCATCGTCGAATGGCAGGATTCCTTTCAGCGGAACGATCTGGCAGATTTCACYCCGCCGATGTCGTCGAGCGGATTGAATTGCCTTATGGTTGGTGGAGACTTTGATGTATACGAATCCGACGACGAATTTGGGGGCCGTCGTCTCAAGCTGCCCTGGGAAGATATCCCTGAGGCAAAGATCACCTCGCTGAGGGTACTGGAAGACGACAGCATCGTCGCGACAAATGYTGTGGTTGAGGAGGACGAGGAGGAAGAAGCGCTCACCATTGCTGGAAACCACAACAACAAGGGCAGGATGGTCCGCACCGAGCTTATTCCGTCGATTGACAAGGACATCGAAGACGACGAATCTGCTTCGGCGGGTATGCGCGTTCGGGATCCAAACAAACCMGTCGCCACATACGACTGCATCGTCGATCAGGGCCTCATGGAACGGGTCTTGCCGCGGAATAAAAGCAACAGCAACGACTATGCGGACCTCGGGGAACAAACCGTTCGTGAACTCCTGGAGGAAGCGGCCCTGGCCATGAAAGAATTCGGAATCTACGTCCTTGTTACCACAACCCTTACGGAGGAGTCCGAGCGGCTCCTGGAGAARCACGGTCTCGCCGCGGGACTCGAATGGCAGTTTCGATTGGACGGGATCTCCAACGAGTCCCAGGTCGTCTCCGTGGCCCGTCGATTCAACACTGGTGAGATGCCAAGGGTGGGGCGTCTCTCCCGGTATCAACCGTGATACGTGAARCGAAGTAACAGGAARCGCGATGGTGTGCGTATAGCGTGTCCCAATAAACGACGCGATTTGTTCTGTCAGTTCGGTGGTKGGAATGGAGCWCGTGGGCTTGTTTTGACGTTGTATTCAATACTGCTGGTTGTTGATGCCGTTTTCGAGAGCAACAAGCGAATAAAATATAACGACCGCTAAGTTATTGTCATGAGCTCTCGAAACAAAAGTTCTSTGCCGTATCGATGCAAGGACAAAGTGAATCAAATCCCAAACAAATCGTGAGAATGCTGTGCACGATTCTCAAGCCTCAAGAATCATCCAAAGTCTGCCAAGTCAGAAAGAAAATCTAGTAGTACACCATTGTTTGGAAAAAGCTGACGATAAAATAGAATGAGTACCTTTGCAAGCTAGCATGGTGTATGTAATGTCTTTATGTACGTGTTTTGTGTGTAWATGATTTGCAAGACACCACAATCTATGGTACAAGCTTTGCTTTCGTCTCTAATCTGGTAGGAAAGCTCGCACCATTTTGATAATGCCCTATAGAGAAACCATCGCGCTTCGGGGTATTGTTTTTGTTTTACGCTGCGAATCGATTAGATTGGATCGGATCGGATTGGAAAGGTTGCAACAGGAATCAATGGTTTTTAATCGATTCCAATGATTGAGATTCTCTTACATGATTAGGTCCAAGACGCATTTCTTTGTCTTCGCCATGTTTCCGTTTCTGGAGATATCATTWTCCCCATGGTTGCCATCGCCACCATTCTCGTTTCCGTMTGCAGAGGGAAGGTCAGTCAGGGAATCGGCAAAGGCATAAATGGACTCTTGTCGACCCGCTGCTAGAACGACATCCCGTGAAAAGTCTAGGCCGTCTTTCTGTCGTTGCCATTGCCAAAAGTGTGGTTTGTGGTTCTGCTTGTGTTTGCTGTGATTTGCCTCGTGGCGCTCGTCCAGCGTATCATGATAGGCTTTCTCTTGGGTTCGTTCCCATTTCGAAATTGCTGCGAGCCGGGTGTACCATGCCGGTCTTTGTAGTTCGGAAGCCGATCCACGCAACGAAGAGGAATCCCGGGTGGTGTTCTTCGCATCCAGGTGCAACGATGAGGACAAGGACGACGATGATAACGACTCGTCCGCAGTGGCTTCGGTTGCTGTCTCGGAACCTCGCAGTGATGCAACGGAACTCTTGAGAAAGGTATCTGCAACAATTCTATCGCCGCCTTCBTCGTCGTCGTCGTCGCATTCCGATATTGATGTGCTTGCCGTTCTGTCTTTGATCGAAGCTAGGTCATTATTGTCATTCCTACTGRCTCCGGCAGGCGAGATAGATTCAGTGATATTGTTCCAGACTCTACCTTTCCACTGGAATAATGCGTTATCGTCGTTCTGCATCGAGGCGATCGACTGACGACGAGCTGTTCGCATTTGCATAAGGAAATCCGTGTCGTCGATCGCTACCACCGACCGGCGCAAATGCGTTTCGCGGAATCGCTTCTCGTTAAAGAGCTGGATTTTTTCGGGGGTCACCATKTTATCTCGGACTTTGCTGATGTTATCGTCTGGAGCCTTGCGATAAGTATGAATTMGGTTGGACACTCGTGCTCTAACGGTGCGCGTGGTTAATTTTTGTGTGCTTCTCGATTTCCTCACGCCTCCAATAAATCGTTGACGGAAGRAATAGTCAGGAAAACTACGAGTGTACGGAATTATTCAATGCTGTAATTTTAATCAACCCGAGAACTCGACTCTTCAATGTTTCTCTGCAACTTTTAAGCCTTTATTCCGGGCATGAAATTGAGAAAACCAAAATGACTGAATGACATGCTATTAGGAGAGGTARATTAACATTTCTTCCACGAAGTCCCGTTTTCAATCGGTCATTGGCGGGTATCATTAGGGGTTTGGGGCAATAGTAATAGGGTCTTTCCCTCTTGCCCGGTTCGGGRCAATTCCATGTGCAAAACGAATTCCCACCAAAGTGAGGTATACTGTACTTCGTACTGACGAAGTAAGTACCTTGTACTACTACTAGTAGAGAATGATTCTTTAATTTTTTCTACTAGTACTCCTAYCAGTAATACTGCAAAAAGTACTTCGTACTCGCAATACTAGCTAGTACTAGTATTATTGTTACTATTGTTGTTCTTGTTTGTCATACCTCGTTCTACWACTACTAGTACTACTAGTATTAATATTTGTGCTTCTTCCAGTCCWAAYATATCTTGTGTCTGTTAGATTCTTAACATGCCRAGCACACAAGTTTTCAAGAAGCTACCATTCTTGCTGATTCTAGCCRTGCTGTGTAGTATTACYGGTAGTATCACCACCACCATATACTCTTGGGAGGAGGACTTACGAAAAGGTTTCCCTGTTCTCCATGGCTCCTTCCTCGTCAAGCGCCAATTCTGGACCTCYGCCCTTGCCGGTCGGCTTCTCGTTTTCGTAAGATGCGAGAGTGGCCTGTGCTCCGCGTGCAAAGGCAACTTTGCTGGTGGTGAGAACAGCGATAAGAACCGCCGCCAAACACCCCACGACGATTCCGGCAATGACACTGGAATCGAGGGTATCGCCGCTACAATCGTCGCCGTTGGCCTTGGCATTGCTGACAGTTGTAGGCAAAGGAGAGTTCCCATCGGGGTCAAGATCTGCCAGTGGGATAATGTCACCTGAACGGTCAAGCATGACAGCGGACTTGGAGGTGTCTCGTTCCACAGAAAGCCAATCTAAACCGAGGGCCTTTCCAATCTCAGGTCCAAGCGCCTCCATTTTCCGTCCGAGTTCAATTCCGCAAGAATGGGTTCGGCAGACTGGAATGCGAACSGTGACATCCATATTGAAGCCAGAAGCAYCAACATKGTCGTTCCTCATGGCCAGTTCCAGGTCTGCAGGATCCACACCGAGAGCTTTGGCAAGTTCTGCGTTGGCATCGGGGAAACGCTCGAGAACTGCAAAGTGGGAGGGTCCAATGACATCGGATACATCCGACGTGTCTACCGCATAGGAGGAAGTGATAAAYACCGTTCTCGYTTCTTTTGGAAACGCTGGAAGGATAGTCCTTGGACACGATGGCAATCCCGTGGTGTTAGACGGGGGTGGGAGCATTCGGAAGAATGTCGTCTCCTCCTCAACCTCGAGRTCGGGATGCATGAGGGTCACCAGGTCCATCAGAACCAAATCGGGGCGGACGCGTCCGAGTTCCCAGTACTTGTTTCCACTGCTGCTGTGGGACTTGTCAAGACCGATCACGGAACCACACTGCATGGGCAAGAACTGCGAAAAGACTTCCCGGTTTTGGTCAAGCAACTCRTCGGCAGTGATTTCAAAGTTGCAAGAGGCCGACCAGCAATTGGCGCCGATGCCCGCACTGATCCAATAGTCGCTCGATCGGAACAAGTCYAGGAAATCACCGATAGGAACACTGCACCTGGTGTCGCTGGTGCCAGAAGGACACGCTCCACATCCGGTGCCGCAAACTTCCTGGTTTACCGCATCGTCCGAATTGCGGTACTCTACGTTTGCGTCTCTCAAGAACTGTCCGACGTAGGTCGACCCGACGGTGATCATCCAGCTGTTTCGTGCCGCTTCGTTCCAGGTACCAGGTTTGCCCACCATTACGGTTGGCCGTTTGCGTGCCTTCGAAGCGATGGCCTTGGCATCATTGTATCGCGCTTCGATCGACTCAAACAGGGTATTGCCGGTTTCCACCGAACCAACGATGAGTGCCATCAACTTCATAAGCTCGGCACGACCCAAAGGGGTTAATTCACCCGGATCGGAGTCGATAAATTGTCTGGCGAGAACCTTTGGATCATCGGCTAGGGGGCCCAAAGACCTAACGTAAGCAGAAATAGAATGATTTAGCATYACAAGTTTCTCGGTGAAGAATTGTAAAAATTGGGAGGAGGACTTTCTTACCTTGGTTCGGTGATCAGTACGTCTGGGAATCCACCCGGTAGGTCGTGGAGGCGGTGGTAGATGGGACGGTTGCTTGGTGCAGAGTCCCGTTCTATCTTGAACTCAACATCGCCACCACAAGTGGTTGCTTCTCCTCGAAGGGAGTGGTCCATAGGGAGCTGGTTGTCAAAATAGAGAGTGTAGGAAAGACTGGTGCTGGGTTCGACCGATGCTTCTCCAGTCTTAAGCACCCAAACATTGCCAGCACTCACCCATCCGGGGATTGAGTTGAAGCCACTGTCTAACACACTKTCCAGTGGCTCGAGGTCGTCTCCAGAGGCAGGATAGATGCAGTCGGTTTCTCCCATGACCGCCGAGGTGTCGTCGTTGATCAGTTGCAACCGAAATCCAGCGGATTCGTCGGAAAACGAGCCGTCGGTAAAAGAGAGCGTAATCCTGGTGCTTGGAACTCCATTCGAGGAGAGATCTAATCGACTGATAATACCATCCCGAATGTCGCTAGCGATTTCGGGCGTTGCATCACTAATGTAGCGGTTGGACTCAATCGCCGTAACCTTGGAGCGCTGTCCCATCATATAGATCTTGCTCAGCGTGTTTGGCATCTGTACCATGACGGAGTTTACTGGGATATGGATCACATTTGCGTCATCCCAGTCTGCAGAGAGAGAAGGGACTGGGCAACCACAACGAACAAACACTACTTTCTGGAAGAAGTGCGWTTCAATGAAGTGTGTGTTGAAAAGTGAATGGAATGAGATGCAGTGCAATGGGGACAGCTTTCAGCAACAACAGAAACCCATAAAATRCTATGCTGACAGCTACATACCTGCGTTGTGTTTTTCATCCACGGACCCCGGGTGGGCCACGTCTGTTTCAATAGGATGTGSGTATTCTCGTACTCAAGGCTTTCCACGGAAGAAGCATGATCCATCGAGATTTTCGTCTCGAAATGATCTACGTCTGGATCGCAGTTTACGACACGGTGGGCGCAGGTGTCCCGGTTATCGAGGACCTGTCCGGTGGCAGCGACGACCAGGAACGCAAAGCATACAAATACGGAAAGCTTCGTCATGGTAACAATGCAATCGGGTCGATACTGTACTGATAACACTTCGTAACGACAAATTTTGTGAGCCGAWCTTCGAGGTTCCACCATGCCCGCAAWAACGGCAAGAATCATCGAGAACTCTTCTACTGTTCTTCTTCAGATGGCAKGTGTCACCAGGAAACGATGGATTGAAAAGATCCATCCAGGCCATTCGGTTCTCAAATAGCCTCCTTTCTATTTGAGTCAAAGTAGCGCGGTAGTTAATTTTGATTTGGACTAGCTAGGGCTGCATGGACTTTGGTGCTGTGTGCAGCATGCAGGGCGCGTGGGCAAGGCCTGCTTGAAATCAAGTTGATAGCTCAGTATTTCTTTAAAGCGGGCAATGGCCTAATCTGTCTTGTTTCGAACAATTTTTGGCTTGTCATCAAAAGGAAACAGCCTTCGTATCCGCACGAAACCAGTTTCTGTCACTGTATGGTACGTAGTACCGTACAATAAATACTATGTTTTACTTATGATACTGCACAGATTCATTCGGGGTTTTGCGGTGAGCTTTCCAATCGTACTACGGGGAAGTAAAAAATCAAAGTTCTAATTCGCCTTTTGCGGTACGCTGYAAGTGGAAGTCGAATCAGACTTTCTTTACTACATTTTGTACATGGTCTAAGTTTATTTGTTATGCGTGTACTATTTGTTTAGTCAGATCACATGTTTTCCAAAGTTAATTGATTCTATTTTAACTCTGGTTCAAAAGCCTCACTGGAACAATTCAAACCAGTCGGGACGCGAGCGGCTCGAGTTCGTTGTAGTCGGTGTCGTTGTCGACTTCGACATCGCTCTCGTAGAATTCGGGGGGCCGAATCACCCTGCATTCTATGTCATTTCGGGCACTCTGCCTCTCCCAAAACCGCATCGATGTGTTCTGGGACCCAATTCGGCAGCCCTTTCCGCATGTGCACAAAAGTATTGTCTCGAACATGTTGTAGAAAAACTTGACGACAATCCTTGTCATTCTAAGCATTGAATGGGACAGCGACAACAAGGAGTTCTCCGAACGCAATCGCTGGCCACCCCCTCGGGATGTGGCAACAAAACTTTCCAGCATTGATAGTGGTCTCACCATTTGCATCGATTCCATTTCGACCATAAAGTCATCTGAAACAAACAGACCGTCAAATGCTCCGTAATATTCTAGGGTCCCGGTAAGAATCCCTGATAAATGACCCAGAAACGAGAGGTTCGGCATGATCAACTGAAGTACCACCAACAGAACCCATGGATACACGTATGATTGAACCGAAAAAATTCCAAATATGCTCCTCGGTCCTGGTTGCAGATAGCTCTCCAGGACACTGAGATGGAAAATGATCCCCGAAAACCCAACGGCGTGCTGATACATCCAGCCCTCGTATCCAAGGGTTGCAAATGAAACATACGCCACAAGTAGATAGATCACCGCCGTCCATACTATSGACCACCATATTGAAAACAGAAGCCGGATGGTCCCGAGACGTTTTTCTAGAGCGCCACTAATGGCCGAAGTAGAAAGCATGTTCACTCCRATATGCATCAGGCTTCCGTGAAAGAAGACCGACGTGAAGATCCGGTAGTATTCACTGGTGAATAGAATTAGCCGCGGACACATAGTGAAGAGCTGGAGATTCCATCCGAGGAGCGTTTGGGCCG